AACGGTTGCTTATTCTTCACTCCTTTTTCTTAATGCCCACGCCTTGATAAATATCTTCACGTCTTTACTAAAGGCTCCTTCCTTTTTCTTGCTCAGCTCTCGACTCCGCATTTCATTCAGTAGTTCATGTCATGCTTCATGAACTACTTCAGCTCCGTCCTTGAACTACTTCAGCTTCGTCTGTACCATACATCTTCAATCTCCCCCTTTTTAATATGTGCGTCTCACAAGTACCTGAGATGAATAAAACAATGCACATACAGACAAGAACAACTTGCAAAGCAATTCATGTAAGCAAAAGTACTCAAATATCCAAGATAAAAGGTTGCATACTTAATACATCTTCGAAAAGATAACACACATAAGTACTCCCCCATAGTCTAGAAATTGTCTTAAACTGGAAATCAAAACCAGTTGCAACAAGTGGTGCAACCAGTAAGTACAATGCAAACGGAGTTCTAAACAAAATAAACAACAACACAATAGCAACGCTCCCCCACAATCTTAGCCTTCATCTCAATCTTCTCCCCCTGCTTGTGAGCACACATGTTAAAAACACAAAGCAAAGGTTAAACATACTCAATCAAAGTAATAAGAAGACTGACCAGAGACAGAGCGAGAGAGATCGGCGACAATATCAGTCAATGCTCGCAAAGCCGCAGCCGTTTTCTGGAGTGCCTCTTGAAGATCTTCCTAAGTAATCAGACCTTGAGGAACCTTGATAGTGCCCAGCTCAACCATGGAGACCCTTCGAGGACCAGTCTTGCCACTTGGAGTAGAAGGTGTGGGAGCAGGAGGAAGACGAGTTGTGCGAGCCGAGGTACGAACCTCCGGTGGTGGGGTAACCTTTCCCTTACCCTTTGCCTTAGCTCTAAGAAGCTCATAGTTCTCTCCAACACGCTTGTCCTTCTTGTAGGGCACAGGACGAATTGGTTTCTCACCACTCTTTGGCTGAAGAAAGTGTTGCTTCTGGAGAATTCCCATAATGAGTCGCGGAAAAATTAACGCCCACGCCTTGATAAATATCTTCACGTCTTTACTAAAGGCTCCTTCCTTTTTCTTGCTCAGCTCTCGACTCCGCATTTCATTCAGTAGTTCATGTCATGCTTCATGAACTACTTCAGCTCCGTCCTTGAACTACTTCAGCTTCGTCTGTACCATACATCTTCAATCTCCCCCTTTTTAATCTGTGCGTCTCACAAGTACCTGAGATGAATAAAACAATGCACACACAGACAAGAACAACTTGCGAAGCAATTCATGTAAGCAAAAGTACTCAAATATCCAAGATAAAAGGTTGCATACTTAATACATCTTCGCAAAGATAACACACATAAGTACTCCCCCATAGTCTAGAAATTGTCTTACTGTCCGTCTCACATTCAGCTTGAGTATGGCCAAATCCACACAATTTCTCTTTCTTCATCTTGCTGTCCGTCTCACATTCAGCTTGAGTATGGCCAAATCCTTTGCATCCAAAGCATTGAAACTCTCTTCTTTTTACTGTGGGGCAATCAGTTCGCACATGGCCATATCCCTTACACTCATAACACTTTACGTCTGACTTCTTGACATTCTTCTCAGCTTCAGCAGATTTGGATTTTGAACCGAACTTCTTGTAGGATTGTCCTTGTTCCACTTTTCTGAGCGCTCTATCAAATCTCCTCACAAGTAAGCTTAATGGATCATCACCTGCTTCATCCTTTTCAACTGATGCTAGTGCAATTCCCTTAACCTTCTTTCCACTGTCTAACTCCATCTCATGAGCTTGCATCATACCCACTACCTCATCAAAGCTTATGTCATCA